GTCTGAGATGATGATACTACAGCCTACCACTGTTGCATGAAAACCTGAGAAGATAAATGTGACCCAGGGCTGCAAACCATTCTGACAACAGGTACCTATTCCTCAGCCCATTCTGCCAAGTACTTTCTGTAGTCAAATATTTCTGCCTTATATGAGTTGCATGCACTTTGCTTTCATTCAGATACTGTTCTTGAGGAGTAAGGAGACAGTATAACCTGTGTTAAAAGAAAAATGAGATGAACGCAGTAATAGCATGATGATGACTTTGGAACCTACAACTGCCTCATCTTTTATAGTGATTTTTGCATACACCTTGGGGACAGGTGACAGGACTGATCCCTGGAGAATGCTATATGTGGGGACTAGCAGCATTCCTGTTGCAGTGAGAGTACTTAGTAAACCCAATTAAGGTATTGTTTGTTGCCAGACATAAAATAATAATTCCAAGTACTACATTTTTGTAACTAACCTATGCGTGTTTATGGCTTAACAGTCATGATTCTTTCTCTGTAACAGCAAGCAAACAGACAAAACTAAATATCTCAAGGGAAGTAGTGTATTGTATATTTGACAGTATTTCAGGTTCAAAATAAACTGAAAAACTAAGAAATTTGTTCTCAGCTATTTTAGTTGTGGTAGTATAAGGCTGCTTACAGACGTGGAAGAAAAAACAAAACAGCATTTTACTTTCAGCTTGGCATGCCCCCATGCTGAGTGCAGTGCATGTCCAGAAGAGGTACTGTATCGGTTTGACCTGGCTTGCCTGTGTAGTTTGCATGCTTCAGTGGGGCTTTGTGGCACTTTATCTAATAGCAATTTAATCCGCTATTAGGTAAAAGCATCAAAAACCCCTGGTGAAGCATTCAGTCTATACAGACATTGGAGAGGTGAGTCAAACTGATGTGTTTCCTTTTTCAGTAAAGCGCTGGGTTGTTGGGGTTTTTTTGGTGTTTTTTTTGGCTAGTTTTTTTTTTTTTTATTGTCTGTCAACATAAGGTTTTTCTGCAGATGCATTATTAAAACAGACTAAAGTTGACAGTCTCTCTAAATAGTCAATATGAAATATGATATGTAGCTTTTCCATGATAAGTATGGATTCTCATAGCAATAGTTTCTGTAAATTCTTTGTGGAAAGGGAAAGAATTACAGAGCAGCAAGAAACTTATGAGCTCAGTTTCTCCAGATCCATTACAACTACCTTTATGGATCGATATCCAAATCCCATTGTATTACCCTGGCTGTTCTTAGCGCCAATCTGGCTGATTCACTTCTGAAGCAAGTGCCAGTGCATCTGTACAACTGTGTTATGTATGCTCTGGATTAGATCTGTTTGTTCAACCTGTTAGGCAAGGGCTGTCCAGCTGGTGGCCTGCAGGCCATGTGTGACTCATGAAGGGTTAAGATGCATTTCCCAGGCTCACCCCCACCTGCTTCCACTCACTGTTTCCACCCCACTGCACACAGTGCAGTGTGCGAAGTGTAGGGTGAGGCTGGGGGCTGTACAGGCATGGCGTAAGATGCAGTGGATGAGCATCAATCGGGGCACGCAGTGCAGCTGGGGTGGTGTCTAAATGATGCGCAGCCCAGGGGACCCATGGCTTCTGTGGCCCCTGCTGGTACAGCTTGTGGGGTGTTCAGCCCCCAAATGCTCATAAATTGGACATCCCTGTGTTAGACCCTGTAATGTTCTGCTCTCTAAAACATTCTCATAGTTTCTGGGGGGGTTGGGGGTGTAGAGGCTAAATGGCTTGAAACTACTGTGCTAGTTAATGGCTAAAAACTACCTAATAGTTAATACGTGAATATTTTTACTTCCATAGTTAATAAAACATTAACTTTAATATATTAGCTTTTAATAAACATTAAAACTGCAGCTGTCTTCAAAGCAGGCAAAAAAACATTTCAGATATAGTGAGCAGTATTGTTAAAGTATTAATGTGATAATATTATGGAGGTATGCAGAAGCCAGTTGGATGCGGGTAGCATATTAAAACAATTGAAAGTTAAGGCACCAGATTTAACCTAGATGACTTTCTTAGGGTGTGCATTAGGCTTTTCTCCACTTCATATTCAAATTTCACTCTCTCTTTAAAAAGCATTTAACCTAGGTCTGAATTTTGCCACAACCCTCCATTATGTGCGTGCAGTCTCACAAGAGTTAGCTGCTTGGTCACTGCTAATCCACAATGAAACAGGCTATTGACAAACAAATGATTGTTCAGCAGTTGGTGGGCTAGTCCCAAAATGCACAAGTAGCAAATAATCTCTTTGTTTTTGCAATTCCTGCATTTCCACAATAGTGCCATGCAAAAGCATAATTGCTGTGTGACATTTATAGAGCAAAAGACTGATTGATCAATAGAAGTTTTTTCAATGCACACCTGTGAGTGCCATATCCTTATTTGGCATGTTGAACTCCTGTATTTGCAAAGTAATGCTACTGTCTTTTTGTGAAGACAGTCAGATGCTAGAACAGTAGATATGCTGAAAGGTAGGGCTAGGATTGAGAAAGACCTTGACAAATTGGAGGACTGGACCAAAAGAAATCTCATGAAGTTCAGTAAGGAGAAGTGCAAAGTCCTGCACTTTGGATGGAACAGTCGCATGGACTTGTACAGGCTGGGGACTGACTGGCTAAGGAGGAGCTTTTCAGAAAAGGAGCTGGCGGCTTACAGTGGACAGTTAGCTGAATATGACTCAACTGTGCCCTTGTTGCCAAGAAGGCTAACAGCATACTGGCCTGCATTAGTAGAACCATTGCCAGCAGATCTAAGAAAGTGATTGTTTCCCTCTTTTTGGCACTGATGAGGCCACATCTGGAGTACTGTGTTCAGTTTTGCCCCTCCGCTCTGAAGGATGTAGACCAGTTGAAGAGAGTCCAATAGAAAGTAATGAAAGCAGTTAGGGTGCTGGGGCACATGACTTGAGAGGCTAGGGAACTGGGCTTATTTAGTTGGAAGAAAAGACTGAAGGGGGACTTAATAGCAGCCATCAACTACCTGAAGAGGATGGAGCTAAACTGTTCTCAGTTAGATTAAGTTAGATGTGAGGAAAAGCTTTCTTATTAGGAGGGTAGTGAATCTGGACCTTTTCTAATGTATCATGTACCAAGACTTAACTGTAGACATAAAAAATGCCTACATACTAGTGACTGTAATATGGTTATACAGTATTTGTTTTAAGAAACAGAATATAGCACCAACTAGTAACATGAACACTTGGAAATTTCCAAGGGATCAGTTTCCTAAATCTTAAAGTACTGTATTTACTTGAATACAATAAAAAGTCCCCCAGCTCCTCCCAACCTGCATGGGGGTGGGGACCTTTATCTTGCATTCTCATACAAGGAAACAGCATTAAATGTATTTTCTATTTTTAAACTGCTGCTAAAAGTATTGTGTGCTCAGTAATAGAAACCAACTATGAAACTGATTAAATGCAGCCAATACTGAAAATGACATGCATGATAATGACATGCATGTTTGCCTATACAGTAGGTCAGATTACATGACTGCAGCAGCTTTTAGCTTTAGACTCCATGCCTGCGTCCACACAAGTGTGGATACTTGGTTCCCTGGGGACAACTAGCAGTGGCACACTTTGTGCAGCTGCTAGTTGTCCCCAGGGAATGTCTGTGCCCTCTGGCGCCAGCTGTGCAGCTGGTCACCTTGGGTGAGGTAGGGGAGGCTGGGACCAGCACCGTGTTGGCCCTGGGGGCCTCCTGGGGCTGCAGCAGTAGCGATCCTGCTCGGAGCCTGGCTGGTAGCTGGAGTATGGCTCCAGCTTTCCAGGTTCCAGTTTTGCCCATGTGTGCCGCTCTGGTTTTTTTTTTTTTAATGCACAGGTTTTTTTGACCCCTGGATATCCAGGAGTCAGTGCCCCCCCCCGCTCCTGTGCAGCACAGAGAACAGCTGAACATGTGGTATGTGGCACTGCAGATGCAAACTGGACTCTGTTGTGATCATTATGTTTGTTAAGTGGCCATGTTGGCCAATCAGAAAAGTTATACAAAGTTATGTAACAGTTGCTAGGAAGACTATAGTTGCCTTTCTGCCATGAGTGTAAAAGATAGACAGCAGCTAGAACTTTCTACAAGGAAGGATCCAGCATCAGTCAGTCAGTGCCATGGGCCTATCGAAAGGTGCCTCACACAATCACATCACCGCATGTCACCCAAGCTATAAAAGGAGCCCCCGCCTGATCGTCAGGGTCCCTTCTGCGTCCAATGGACTCGGAACGACTCACGGCAGATTATTACGGACACGGCTCGGCCTTCAGAGTAGCTAATCGAAGGAGGACGCAGAGACCCGCCTGATCCCGGCGACCTAAAACCCCTGAGACAACTCACCAGCCAGATCCATCGGTCTCATGCACCATTAGGGCACGCGAGGCGTGGTGAGTGAGTTTAAGCTGCTGCGCAGCTATGTTAACAGTTATCAATAAAGATCACCAAGTCTGTTCACTGTCCTCCCGACTCCTCGTGATCTGTGGTAAGACTGACCAAGAAAAGATCCTGTTCGTGACGCCATGTGACAGGATCTTTGGCAGAAAGGCAACTATAGTCTGCCTAGCAACTGTTACATAACTTTGTATAACTTTTCTGATTGGCCAACATGGCCACTTAACAAACATAATGATCACAACATGCCCCCCCGGCCATGTGAGCCAAGGTGGCTTACAACAGGTACCAAAAACAAACTGAAAAAGTGGCAATGTCTGCTAGGTAGGTTACAAATTGTAATACCAGATTACAGGACACTTTGTATCTCTTGGTAGCCGTCATTTGTTTGAGGCTCATAGTGTGTGACCTGCATAGCAGAGGTAATTTGGCGACGAATACAATGAATGATCAAACCAACACAACAGGATGCTATCAATACAACAATCAAAACTGTAAATAGGGAAGTTAGTAGATTCGGTAACCACGGTGAAAGCCGGAGGTTAAATGCAGAATGGGTGAAGGATCGCTGGAGGGATCTCGAGTTGAAGGGGATCCTTACAATGTCTCTGTGGCCACGGGTTGTGATGCACAACTGGTGTCTGCGGAGGGCGCGGGATTTCTGGACTGCCATCATTGCTGATTCCAGTAAAAGTGTTAAGAAGTTGTCGAGGAAAGGACGGTCCTCCACTGCGGGTGGGTGTTGTCGCTGAGTCAGCGAGTGCATCGGGACTCTCAGTGCTGTCGCTCGAGTGTACTGGTGTTGTGAGAGAGGCGCGTGGGGTTGCAATCCGCCGCTTGGGTATGGAGAGATAAACGGTTCCTGCAAGGGCGTTAATGAATGGCTGTGAATGTGGGGCGTGAATAGGTTGAGCTCCCTCGTGGACTTGGTGTGGCTTCTCACGTACTGCACCGGCAACCAAGGCTGAGAGGGAGATAGGCCACGGTGTGTTGTCAGCTTCCAGGACAGTCGAACTGGGAAGCAGCCCTAAACTAAAGCTTCCATGTGTAACGAGGCTAATGGCGTCTTGCCGGTTAAGTGTCTTATGGCCGCATTCTAATACTAATCGTCCGAGCCATTGCACTGGGGTTTCATCTTCCTGTTTTGCTGTCCGGTTGATAAGCTCATTCATTTCACTGTGGTCACGATCGTGGGTGGGCCACTCAGTGATGAGATTCCCATCTCCGTCTTGCCGGGTCTTTATTATCTCGACCGGCTGAGCTTGGAGCGGAGGGTTTGGCAGGGGGCCGGGCGCAGGCGGAGCGGCGTCTGTAGGAGGTGCGGCTTGGGTCCCACCGCCTCCTGGATCAGGGAGGGGCGGGTATAGTGACGTCACCACTGA